CTTCCCAAACTTCCCTGTAGCCCACCCCCTTGGGGAATCTTGTGCAAGCGCTGCCTATTGCCTGTTGTTGCAGTGGCTCTGGGCTAGGGCTCCTGTGTCACCACGTGCTCCCCCCTGGGTGGTGTCCTGCTGCTCCTCACAACCGCATGCACATCGGTTGCTTGGCATTGTCTGCTTCAGAGTCACTGTCAACCACTCCCAGGTAAGCCTGCAGATATTGTGACTTGTTAATTTATTGAGATTTTTTTTTTGGCTGAAATCAAGTTTTACTTTTTTTAATGTATTTGGTACAGGGTCTACAGGGTCTCACTACATAGATCAAACTCGTAGTGATTCTCCTGTTTTCAGCCTCCCAAGTGCTGGGATTACAGGCGTGCGCCACCGTGCCCAGTCTCAGTCACCATCTCAGCATGCCACGAGAGCGGGCTGGCGTGGCAAGTCAAGGATTGAACCCAGCCACTGTGCTCTGCATGAGCATGCGCCTTAGTCCGCTGAGCTATCAGGTCGGCCCTAGTTTTACTTTAGAGTTTAGAGACTTGGTACAAGTTAGTGCTCCAAAGGAACCCAGGGCGAGCTAGGCAAGAGCTGTACCTCCGAGCTACCACCCAGCCCTGACCCCTCTTTGAACTGGAGGGTAAACTCAGCGTGTGAGCTGCCAATAGGCTATTTAGGTCTTTCACCATCTGCCCCCCATTATCTCCTGGAGGGTGAGTGTGAGGTTTGGGTGGAGCTTGGCTGTGGGGTTTTTTGAGTCAGGGTCTCGCTACGGAGTTCTTGCAGAAATCTCACAACATGTGAGGCATTTGTGGCCAGGCAAGGCTGGGCCTGTACCTCAAGAGCCCACGGGGGAAGATCTCAGGCAGGGACTAAAGGGAAGTGGGTGAGTGAGTGGGTTTGGGGAACTAGGACCACACCTGAAAGTTGGCTATCCCCTTCCAATAGTCAAAGTATTCCTACGCCATTGCCTTTTGAGGGCCTTGAAACAAAATATTCTAGCTGTGCACATTATTTGGTGAGGCATGGAGGTCTGAAACTTGTCACAAATGGCAGGAGTATAAGGGCAAGGCCTGCTGAGCGATCCGGCAGGCAGTGGGGGAGGCTCAGCCTTCTGGTGTGTGTGAGGTGGGCGCTCAGAGAGTGAAGACAGGGTTCTGGCCCTTTTGCCAGGGGGAGAGCACAGCATGACCTGTGGTGAGGAGGACTCGCTGAGTCACTGAGCTGGGGGAGGTGCTCAGCCCCCTCAAGTGGCCCAGCTGGGGTGGCAGATGGTGGAAAGGCCTCAGCCATGGGGAGCAGGGGCCATCCAGGAAGGAGCTGATGGAGCTCTTCCCAGAGCCTGCCTCCAGCCTCTCACGCCTTGTAGAGTTCTGATCTCCGCAGTGGGACCCCAGAGCCTGGCCCACACCTCCACCTGCAGCCCGAGCCCTTCCTCTCTCCCCAGCTGGCTTCCTGGCTGGGCTTGTACCCTGCAGAGAACCTGGCAGAGGAGCTGCTGGAGAACCTTCACTTGGCTCTGGGAAGCCTGCTTCACTGTGCTTCTAGCCCCGCAGCTGGCGTAACGCGAGACCTTCCTGTCCAGTAAATGCTAAAGCCAGGTCAGGCCGGGACTGGCCGGTGGTGCTGCCCTGGATAAAAAAAATTGGGCCTCAAGCGTGACCAGTATCCTGTGTACAGTAGAACACAGTTCACGCGCAGCCTGGCTCTCTTAAAATGAATAAAACTTCATTTTATTTTGTGGTACTGAACACAGGGCCTTCACAGGAAGCTACATCCCCAGCCCTTTAAAAAAAGTTTTTTGCTTCAAGACATACTTTGGAGGGCTGGGAGATAGCTCAGTAGAATAAGTGCTTGCCTGGCAAGCGCAGGGTCCTGAGTTCAATCCCTGGTACCGCCAAAAAAAAATAAATAAAAATAAAAAATAGACATACTTTGGCTAAGAAACTGAGTTACCAACTTATAATCTTACTACTTCAGCTTCCCGGAGTGCTGAGGTGGATGCAGGTATCTGCTACCTGTCAAGTTCATCCATGTCTATTTTGTAGCTAAAGAAATAGGTACAGGGGGGTCAAGGGACTTGTCTAGGGTCACCCATCGAATAAGGCTTAGGGGCACTATCCAGATAGTCCCCACTTCCCAGAAAAGGGAGAGAGAGAAGGCAGGGATGAGAGTGGAAAGAAAGCAGAGCCAGCAAACCAGAAAGGGGTCCCCTTGCTCTTAAGCAGCAGGCGTGAGAACTCTGAAGGAGGAAAGCCACCTCCCTACAAGTTAGGAGCATTAACTTAAAGCAGAAATGAGTCATAGAAAAATAGCGAGGTCACATACAGTGCAGAATTACGAGGTAATCTTCCACTGTAAAAAGTATCAGGAAGCCGCCACCACTTTCAAACAAAACAGGAAGGAAACATACAAGGATAGAATAGTAAATCAGGGTTGTAAACCTGGGTAGGCTAACTTGGCATCCCTCTCCCATCTGAGTCTTAACTGCTTAGAGCTCTACTGTCCAACAATGGATCAACCAGATACATTTGGCTATTTAAAAGTTTTCTTTTTTTTTTTTTTTTTTTTTTTTTTTTTTTTGTGGTGGTACTGGGAATTGAACTCGGGACCCTGCACTTGCCAGGCAAGTACTTATTCTACTGAGCTATCTCCCCGGCCCTATTTAAAAGTTTTGGGGTAATTTTTTTTTTTTTCCTGCGCTTGGGATCAAACAACAATTTCGCTAAGTTCTACCACTGAGCCACACTCCCAGCTCCCCAAATTAGTTAATATTAAAAATTTATCACAGCATGATGGTACATTGCAGCTACCTAGAGAGACTGAGGCAAGAGGATCACAGTTTAAGCTTGGCCTGGGCCACAAAGCAAGACCCTGCCTTAAAAAAATATAATCAACAGGGCTGGGGAGATGGCTTAGTAGAATAAGCACTTCCCTGGCAAGCGCAAGGGTCTGAGTTCAACCTATAGGATTCCGAGTATAGCTGCTGAGCTAGTAGGGAAAGAGGTCATGTAGCAAAGGTGCAAGGAGAGAACAGGGAGGTCTTGGGAAAGGAATGGGCCTCAGAGCACCCGGGGAGGCTCATGCCTATCTGGCCTTACCTAAAGGGGTTTGTGCCTGAGGGAGGTGTGCAGGCCTGGCCTTGCCGATCTAAATCAAGACCTGGTTTTCTTCAGCTGTGCCCCCTACCACAATTCCTTTTTGTTCCTTTTTTCTCTACTCAGATTTTTTTTAGATACATTTTAGATATACATAATGATAACATTCATCATAGGGAATTTGTTGGGCTGGGGAGATAGCTTAGTGGAATAAGAGCTTGCTTAGCAAGTGTAAGGTCCTGAGTTCAATCCCTGGTACCACCAAAAAACAAAAAACAAATATATTGCAAACATGTATTTTGTGGGGCCTGGGAAATGGCCCAGTAGAAAAGGAAAAGCGCTTGCCTGGCAAGCGCAAGGGCCTGAGTTCAATCCCCAGTTCCTCCAAAAAAAAAAAAAAAAAAATTTTTTTTCCTATACATGATAGAACTTTATTTTTTCCTCCATTTCCCTACCTTCTCTTCAGCCCCTCCCTCCGTCCCCATTGACCAAAGCTTTGTTTCCATGTTGTCCTTCTTTCATCTTTTCTTTTTAGCTTTCTTTCTCCCTCTCACTTCTCTTGTTCCCCTCCCCATTCGAACATTTTCTTCCATGTTACAATACCTGTTGTACATCTTGGTCCTCATTTATACTTTTGGTTTCTCACACGGGGGTGGGGGAAAGCAGTATCTACACACGTGTCCAGTTTATTCCACATAAAAGAATGATCTGAAGGTGTATCCTTTGACCTACAGATGGCTAGAGTTTAACCTCCTTTATGGTGGAGTACTCCATTGTATGAAACAACCACATCAGCCGGGCGTGGCTAGCACGGGGGAGGCTGAGGCAGGAGGATCAGTGCACGTTTGAGACCAGTCCGGACTACAAAGTGAGCTCCACGCCAGACTGAGCTGCCTAGTGCGACCTTGTCTCAAAACGACGCAATGAATAAGAACAACCACTTCTTCTTTGTCCATTCACCAGCGGATGGGCATTTGGCTCCAGCCGCCACGCCGATGTCTTTATTTTGTGTTGACTTCTTCTCAAGCTCAGTCCCTCTCTGTGCATTAATTTTGATGGAACTTAACTGCCTGTTTCTACAAGGCACAGCTGCTATCTGGCTGTTGGCAGTGTTGTCATGTGAGAGTATGGGCCCAGGGTTGTGTCGTGGGGCTCTTTAATTCTTGGAGAGAGGCAGGAGTTGGGAGCTTGCGACAACGCAGAATTTCTTATTTGGCAGTCCTGGGATTGAATCAAATGGTACAGGCTGCATGGTCAAGGAACACTCTTCTCTCAAGGTGTTTTTCAGTCTTGGGTCTGTGTTGTTTGGTTTTCTGCTTCCTTCTGCCTGTTTCCTGTGCAAAGCCACAAGCTTGGCAGGTCACTGCCCTTTCTCACCTAAATGGGAGACCAGTGAGTAGCAGAGTGAGGAACTGCTCCTTTCTATGGTGGCTTCCAAAATGTCTGATGGGGAGGGAAGCATGGTGGGGCCTCGAAATCCTTGCAGTCAGAGAATTGAAGCAGGAGGAACGCCGAGAGTCGGAGATGATCAAAAGAAAAAAAAAACAAAACAAAAACAAAAAAACCATGTCTACTGGCTTCAGGTGTAGCTCAGAGGTACAGTGTTTGCCCAGTACCCTCTATGTGATCCCTAACTGCGTTCCATCCCCAGCCCTGAAAGGTAAAAAAGAAGAAAACCTGGCCATAACCTCTCAGAAGGAGGCTCTGAGTTACTGAGCAAACTTAATTGCCTTTATCTGACTCAGAGGATGAGCTCAAAGTCCAAGAGAGAGGGATGAGCAGGGGGTAGGGTGTGTGACATTCCCAAGCAGGCCAAGCCCAGGTTAAACCGCCCAGGATTCAGGGTGGGTATAATACAGAATCATTACCCTTCTCCCTACCCTTCTGCTTTTTTCTTCCCCGTCACAGGGAGCCAAAGAAGATCACAGACAGGAGAGAGAAAACTAGAATGGAAAATACCGGGCCAGCGCCAGCTCCGTTTCCAGACTCAGTGTAATTTGTTTTATGATTTGGGGGAAGATGGCCAATTTCAGTTTGGTCCCTGATACAGAGTTCGTGGACAGAGGCAACATTCTGTCAAATGCTTAAGAACCGAGTTGTTTATGAATAAAAGCATTTGTGAACCGAGGTATAGGCCGCCTGACAAATGGCAGCATTGGTTTGGCCAGGGACACTTTCCAGGGTGGGCGGTGTCATAACTGTTGACTCCTGGATTGCACAAAGCACAGGAAGTAGGCGGAGATCTGTGAATACCCTGGTTATAGGCCCAGCCCTGAGTACAGCCAGCCCCATGATCCCTTGAAGTTCAAAGTTTGGCGGCCTCTAGAGGAACCAGAGAGCTCTGCAGAGCACTGCTTTCTGCGGAGCGCTGGGCAATGTACACTTACTGCTGCTTCCAAAATCCAACCTCTGCCAGCTCAAAAGTGGAGCCTTTTGGCCTAAAGCCCCCGCTGGTGCAGCAGGCAGCAGAGGAGGGGCAGTGCAGGAAGGTGGGGTGCAAAAGGAAGTGGGGTCAGAGCTGGATGGGCCTGTCTTCCTGGGTGGGAAGAAGAGAGGGGGAGGGTCAGGGAGATAGCTCAGTGGCTTGAACACCTGCCTGGCAAGCACAAGGTCTTGAGTTCAATCCCCAGTTTAAAAAAAAAAAATTGAAGGGGGGAAGAGGGGTTCTGGAGACAGGAAAGGAGGGCCCCGTCTCACCCTTGGCCGGCTTGTTCATTCCGGGTCCCTGCCACCTGTCTGCCTTGCCTTGCCCTTAGGTTCTCCCGATCCACCATGGCCAATGTGGAGTCCATCATCCGCATCCCCCCGTACTACTACATCCACGTGCTAGACCAGAACAGCAATGTGTCCCGCGTGGAGATTGGGCCAAAGACCTACATCCGGCAGGACAATGAGAGGTTGGTAGGGGGCCGTCCAAACCCACCGGCCTGGTTGAGCGCACTGTCCTCCCTGTTCCACACACAAATGGCCCTGGCTGGGGTGTTTGCCATCTCTTTTGGGGTGGAGATCTGGCTCTTCTGGGTCCTCTTACTCCTTCTCATCATCCAACAGGATACTGTTCTCCCCCTCGCCCATGGTGACTGTCCCTCCACGCCACTACTGTGTAGTGGCCAACCCTGTGTGCCGGGACGGCCAGGGCTCCGTGCTGCTCGACGTCACAGGGCAAGTACGGCTCCGCCACGGTGACCAGGAGATCCGGCTGGCGCAGGACCCCTTCCCCCTGTACCCAGGGGAGTCGCTAAAGGAGGTATGTCTTGTCCCCGCTCCACCTGTCCTGAGGGAAAGCGAGCCCTGCTGGAGGGAACACAAATTGGGCTGGGAGGGACATGCCCTGTGCCCTGGTTCTCCCTGGCGGGGCCGATTCTGGCCCCCACATACCTTCCCTGGGGCCCCACCCTCCTCCCGGGCCCAGACTGACGCAGGGCTTTGAGAGCCGCCAGCCCACTCACCACCTGGTCCTCCAGAGGCCCACACTCTGCCAAGGTCACGCCCTTGATTCTCTTAGACAATGATAGACACACAGGCCGTGACACAGCAGTAATGGCCATGGTGCTGTTCCATTCCCAGGAACCCTTCGCAGGCTTGGACTTCCGGCCAGGGCCTGGTCCTTGCTATTCTCGGACCCTCGACCAAGCGAGTGGGCAGGCCGCCTTCCTTCCTTCTTGACCTTCTTGCCATTTTGTTCCTTTTAGTCCTAAGGTTCCTGGGGCTGGTGAGATAGCGCAGGGGTCTAAAGTGCCTGCGTAGGCAAGCTTAGGCAGGCGCAGGGAACCACAGTTCAATCCCTGGCACCACATGCTGCGCCAGACCTGCCATCAGGGTAGGCTGAGCCGCCCCCCCAAAAAAAGGAATTCTAAGTTTTCTTTGCTAACCAGTGCTACTGCTGTTGCTCTGGCTCCTGCTTCTCCTCCTCTTCTTAAAAAAGATTTATTTATTTATTTGGTACAGGGTCTTGCACTACAGCTTGAACTCATAGTGATTCTCCTGTCTCAGCCTCCCTTGGGCCAGAGAGATAGCTTCATAGAGTAAGTTCTTGTCTGGCAACTGCAGGGTCCTGAGTTCAATCCCCAGGACCACTAAATAAATAAATAAATAAATAAATAAATAAATAAATAAATGGAAGGAAGGAAGAAAGGTAGCCACCTCTGGACTTCCCAATGGGGGCCTGCCCCTTAGCTCAGTTGTTTAAGTGCCTGCTCATGCAAATGCAGTCAGGCGCAGGATACCGCAGTTCGATCCCCGCCTCCACCTGCCTTACCAGACTTCCCTTAAGGCAGCCTGAGCCAGCCAAAAAAAAAAAATCACTCTCAGCCTCCCAGCACTGGCATTATAGATGTGCACTACCACTCCCGCTTTCAGTAGTACCACTGTACGCAGTGCCAGAGATTGAACCTGGGTCCTTGACCAGGCGGTGCTTGGCCCACTGAGCTATCTCCCCAGCCCCTCCTTCTCCTCTGCACTTTTTTTTTTTTGCTTTTTTTTTTTTTTTTTTTTTTTTTTTTTTGGGTGGGGAATTCGTATTTTGTCCTTCAAAATGAAAACTTTTGGTCCACCTTAGGTAGCATTTTG